CGTGGACAAAGCTTCTGACGGCGGCGACCGGTTGGCCTGGTCAGCGCAAGGAAAGCCACTCCCCTGCGAGCCAAAGCTGGCAGGGACAGTCGCTAGAAAACACCGATAAGCCTCAAGCTCGTGCCTGAACCCCAGCTGTCGCTCACAAGCAGAACTGGGCCATTTCCACAGAATCAATTTGAAAAGGGCAAACAAGCCAAGATTTATAAGTGCTCTGCCCTGTAGACAGGTCAGTCTGTACTGCACTTGCTGATTCACAGTTGCCCTGGGAGCTGTCCCATCTATGGTCACTGTTTCCTAAAGCAGCAGCTCCTGGGGAAGCAGGCAGGCCATGCCCTCTCTTCCCTGTTACTCTAACAGGGTGGGAGCAACTGGAAGGGATGTGTTTATAGTAGATTTTAACGGAAGAAACTTAAAAAAAAAACAACTGGTATCACATATACAGTCTATCCTCGGATCTTACAAGAAAAAAATCTTTTCACTTCATTCATGTGACAAACCCAAACCTCCCAGCAGAACCCTAACGCAGCCCTCACTCTGCAGACCAAGGGTGCCCATCTGGGAGTGACACAGCCATCTGGCAATATCGGGGGACATTTTTGGTTATCACAACTGAGGGGGTGCTGCTGGAATCGAGTGGGTAGAAGCCAGGGCTGCTGTGGACCCCCCGCCATGGTGGACAGGAAAGCCCCCATCTCCGAGAATTAGCAGGTCCAAAATGTCAGGTCAACGCTGAGAAAACCGTGCTATAGACATGTAAGTGGAAGATTTAGTAGTTATTTAATCAATAGATTCACTGCACATCTCAGTGAGTTGACGGGGATACATGAGGGACCATTCTGTCCTCATGGAGTGTGTGTTCTAGAGCTGGCACCCCACCTCTCTGAATCCCCCAGACTCTTGAAGGCAAAGAAACAAGGTTTAGATCCTCTTTTGTTCCTCTCTCTCTCTTTTTTTTTTTAATTTTAGCTTTTCCCTGCTTCCATCTACTGTCACTCCCAGCCTATAAGGTCCTTGGCAGTGGAAACTGGGACTCTTCCTCCTGATACACAAAGAACCCTTCCGTGCATGGAGGTGGGGTGGC